CCTGGCCAGCCCCCGGGTCCTGAGGACTTCCGGCCCGAGGTCGGCCTGAGAACGACCCTGTGTCCCTGGGGGACAGCGCAGTCCCCCGGCTTCGTTAACCCGTGTACCCGGGGTGCCCCGCGGAACCCGCCAGATCCGCTCTGCAGAGGCCCACCCGCAGGCCGCTGGGCCGGGGTCTCCCTCCCGGGACCGCAGGTTTAGCCTTTGTGAGGAGTGAAGAGGAGAAGCGGAGAGGGAGGGGAGAGGGAGGAAGAAGGAGGGAGGAGAGGAAACCTCTGAGGACTGGGACCCTAGCTCGGCGCCGTCCGTCCCCAGCGCTGCGGGGGTGTGGGGGGCGGAGAAAACGGAAAAGAAAGGAAGAAAGAAAACCCGTGAAAACCGCAGTGGCCGTTTTCAGGCGCCCAGCGCACGGGCCGACTCTAAGCTGCCCGGTGGGCCCCAGATCCCGGAGCCTGCCGCCTGCCCACGCCCCACTCAGCCAGCTCCCCGTCCCCTCCGCAGGGCCCCTGGCAGCCACCCTTCCACTCTCCAGGGGTTGGACGCCGCTCTGAAAGGTAGCATTGATCTGGGACTGGCTGGTTTCACTTCGCACGACGTCCTCGCACTCCTCCAGGTGGTGGCTTACTTTGTGACAAGTGTTCCTTCAGTTGAAGCGGAATCTGCTCCCCTGTGCACATCTACCAACCTGCCCACCTGCCCACCTGCCCACCTGCTGACGGCCATTGTGTGCAGCGCTGTGGTGACCTGACCGTTCCTCCAGGAGTCTGACGTCAGTTCTTTTGGATATATACCAGAACCGGGACTGTCACTGCCCGACCATAGGATGGTTCTATTTTTCAGTTTTTGAGACACCTCTATATTGTTTTCCTTAATGGCTGCTCCATTTTACATTCTCACCAATAGTACACCACGGCTCCGGTTTCCCCAAATCTTTGAAATACTTATTATTATGTGTCATTGTTTTTTTTTTTTAATTGGCCACCCTAATGAATTCCTGAGGTGGGATCTCAGAGGTTTTGATTGGCGTTTCCCTGGTGACCATCTCTTCCTACTCCCTTTAGCCATTTGTGGGTCTTTGAAGAAATGTCTCTCTCCTCTTCGGTGCTGGGTGAAGTCGCATCCTTTGGTTTTGCTGTGGTAGTTCTTCGCAGGCTCCATGCCAATCATCACATGGATATGGTTTGCAGATGCTTTCTTCCTCCCTGGGCTGCCCTCGGTGGCACAGAGGTTGTGCAGTTTGATGTAGTTGCATTTGTCTATTTTTGCTTTTGTTGTCTGGGTTTTGGGGTCACAGCCTCAGTCCTCTTTCCAAGCTGACTGCCACCTGGGGCCTGAGTAGCAGGGCAGGACTGTGGCCATCTCCTCTACTTCCTATTGTGTCCCTGGACGTCCTCTCACCAGGGGCTGGGCGGGAGGGTGACCCTGCACGTCTGGAGGGGACCTGTAGACGATTTCTCCAGTTAGGAGGACTTTACCCACATACTGTTGTTAGAACCTCTCATGAGAATAAAAAAACAAAAACAAAACTAACAAACAACAACAAAACCCTGTACCAATAGGTCGATCTCTTCCTCGGGCAAGGGTCCGGGCTGGGGTTCCCCTGGTTGGGTCAGCGTTGGACAGTGCCTTCCATAGGACTCCAGGCCCTGCATCTCAGAGCCAAGGCAGCGCACCAGGCTGGCGTCTAGGGTGGAGAGAGACCTCACAGTCCGCGGACCGAGGAGCCGCAGGGCTTCCGAGGGGCGGCCTGGGAACAAAGCCTGGAATCCCCACCCTCGGGGCTCCCTCGGCCTAGACGGGATGGCTCGGTCGGGGAGCCGCGTGGGGCTGCAGAGACCTCCTGAGCGCGGGGCCATCCCGAGGCGCGGTGCGGTTCGAGGTGGGAGGCCAGGTACCGAGGCGGCCCGCCCCGGGCCCAGCCAGGTCGGGACGCGGCACGCGGTGCCTGGATGGGGCGCGCCCTGGAGCTAGGCGGAGCAGGGCCGGCGGCGTTCATTAGGCGGAATGAATTGTGCGCCGTGCCCGGAGTGGGTGAGGACGAGCCAGTGATTATATTTAAATTTGCTATAATTGATTTGGAGAAGAGCTACTGTGACAAGCACGAATTGATCATTAAATTTATTAGCGAGATAAATTCCGCCGCGATTAAAGCGGCGCTGCAGGAGCTGGGCCGCTGGCCGGTCCCGCGCCGAACCCGGCCTTGCTCGGCAGGAGGACGGGCGGGGGCTGGGCGACCCATCCCCTCCAGGGCCGCTCTTGCCTTGGGACAAAACCTTGGCTGGGACCCCCGCCCGGGGTCCCAGGGCCGGATGTTAAACCACTTTCTAAGCCCGGCCCCGCTTTCTCGGCTTCTCTGGGTTGGGGGCGGCTGAGCTGGGGGAAATAACCCCCAGATGTGGAGCCGCGGAGAGGAGATCGCTTCAGGCTGAGCTGCCAATGTGGTAGAGATTAACGAAGACGTGTACAGGTTGCCGTTTCTTAACCCCCAAAGACGTCGCCCTCCCCCCTCCGCTGCCCTCCGACTTTCCCCCTCCATTTCCGCGGGCCCTCAACCTTCCCCACCAGTCGCAAACCCAGTCCCCCAAAGCGACTGTGGACCCCAAGGCAGCCCAAGCCCCGCGGCCGGGCGCGTGCGTGCAGCAGGGCTCGGCCTGGCTCGCTGTCCTCGCCCCCGCCCCCGCCCGCCGTCGGGTGGGACGCAGAAGCCCGGGGTGATAATGAGCTGCCAGGGAGGATATTAATCTCGCCCGGTTCTGAGGTACTGAGTGCCCCGTGCACCCCGCGGTAATCACCCAAATGAAACGCCAGGCCCTCTGAACTCATCCATCAGCTGGGAAAGGGCAGGGAGAGGCGGGAGGGGCTGCGGCCCAGGCCCAGGCCCAGATGAGAAAGTGACCCACAGAAGGAAGGCTCCTGCGGCATCCCTAGATGAGCCCACCGTGTCGGCAGCAGAAACCGAGTACCAGCAGGGTCCGCTGGGAGGCCGGCCTGCGCGTCCAGGCGGGGAGGGACAGCACAAGATCCCGTGGGCCGCGGCTTGGGCCCGCATGTGTGCAGCACATGGCCAGCGGCCGCTGGCCCTTGATTGATGGCACACATTGCAGGGTTTATTAACCCAGAGCCATTGCAGTCCTGACGAGCAGCATTCTTGCAGCCTGTGGCTGCCCTCTCGGACATTCGCACAGATCCAAGAAAACCGTTCCAGGCCGGCCCAAGAAATGGTCTGCCTGCAGCGAAGGCCAGGCCGGGGTGGAGGAGAAAGAGAGGCGCCGCTCAAGTCAGAGCATTCTGGGAAATACGCTTCAGTAGTGCCTAGGGCTAGGCCGACCCCCATGTACCACAGTCTCTCATTTGAAGCTTCTTTTCCAAAACATTCAGTGTATTTTCATTTCTGAACCACCAAGGGAATAGGGTAGTACACATACCCAGACGTGCCAGGGACAGGGGTGAATCAGCACCAGCGCTCTGACACCTGGCCTCGAACTTTACCCACACTTCACACCTGGGACACCCCTGTGCCCACTCGCCACCAGAGTCAGGTGCCACTGGGTCTCAGGTGCTGACAGCCACTGTGCTTCTGATTCACACACTCTGCTGTCAGTCCTGGGGTAGAAACCTCCCCCTCCGGGCAACCGCAGCAGTGAGACTACCCCAGAGAGCTGCACTCTTATCAAGTAGAAAACCATTTTATTTTACATTCCATCCTGGGCGATGGGAGAAGCTAAATAATAATTTAGCATGCATAAGTAGACGGTTCTTTCTTTATATATAAATACAATATACAAAAATAAAGACAGTACAGTTCTGAAATTCCCAGCAGTTTGCTCATGGCACACGTTTCTCCCCATAAGATACATCAGCATAAAACCCTTTCCAATACTCATCAGAATGGCATTTCCAGAGAAGGTTTCAAGTTTCAGAGGTCATTTAACACTGTCGGTTTCCGCCTTCTCAGACGCGGGAGACGGGAGGCCTCCCAAACACCTCCCGCCAACACTACCCCAAATTAACAGAACCACGGTTCCACCTGGAGCCGCCGGGTCTCCCTAGCGCTGTCAGAACGCCCTGACCCAGAAGGGAAGCCCCAGGCCCCGCGCAGACGGATGGCTGGTCCGAGGAGGGTGGGCGCCGGCCCCGGACTCCTACTGGGGCGGGGGCTGGTGCCCGCCCGGCCGCGGGGGCGGCGAGTCCTCCTCCGAGGAGCAGTCGGAGGAGACGGTGTGGGCGCTGGCGCCGTTGCTGTAGGGGAAATGGTCCTCGTCGTCCTCGTCCTCGTCCTCCTCGGGGTCACTGTCCCTTAAGTCCCGCAGGCGACGGCCGCTGGCCTTGTCCCCAGACGCCGGCGGCCCCAGCACCTCCTCCTCGCCCTTCTCCTCGGCGCCGCCTTTGCAGGCGCCCCCGCTGCCGCCCTTCTGCTTCTCGGCCTCCTGCGCCGCCTGCTCCTTGGCCTTTTTGCTGCGCTTCCATTTCATCCGCCGGTTCTGGAACCAGATCTTCACCTGCGAGCAGAAGCAGGCGTGAGAAACCCCACCTCCGTCCCGAGTCTCCTCTCCCGGGTCTGGGGCCGCTCGGCCCGCCCTCGCCCTGCAGGGGGCTTCGGATGGGGGACCTCGGGCGGGCAGAGGCTCCCAACTGTTCCTCTCCTCCCCTACTCATCAGCAGACCCAGAGCGGGGCTGGGGGGCCCAGGGAAGCTCGGGCTATGGGTGTCCCCTCCTCCCCGGGCCAGCCACTTTCTACCGGGCAGCATTCTGCGGAGGGGTCAGGGCAGCGGGGCAGGTCTCTTTAATAAAATCTCAGAACGTCCCCTCCTCTCTTTCTGGGACAAAACCCGCGGAACACTCGCTGGAGAATGGGGAGCGGAGGGAAGTTAAATGCAGATCTGGGTCCTCGCCCCAACCTACTGGAACAGACGCCTATCGCGGGCAGAGACTCGCCTGCTAATGGGGAGCCTCGCCGGAGTTTCAATTCACAGTCCGCCCCCCTTGGGGTCAAGAGGCACGGTCCTAGATGCCCCTGACATCAGAGGCGACAGCAGCCCCGGGAGCCCAGGACGCGCTAGGGCGGTGGGTAGACGGCGCACCTGGGTTTCGGTGAGCATGAGCGAGGTGGCCACTTCGAAGCGCTTGGGCCGGGACAGGTACTTGTTGAGCTTGAACTGGTGCTCCAGCTCCAGCAGCTGCTGGCTAGTGAAGGCCGTGCGCGGCCGGCGGCACTTCCCCAGGAGGTTGGACTGCGCCTGGGCTGAGGACCGAGCAGGTGTGAGGCCGCGGCCCGCCCCGTCCTCTGCCGCTCCTTCAGACGGCTGCCGTATCCCTCCCCCCAGGCCCCACCGCCAAGCGCCCGCCCAGCGGAGCCGGAGCTCGCCCCTCGCTTCAGTGCCCACTCCGAAGGAAGAAGGGAGGGACCCAGGACCCTCGGTTGAACTGCAGGGACTGGGTTTAACTAGACCCAATCGTTTTGTCTGGGGCAAAGCCTGTTGCCCGAGTGGGTCGGTTGGTAGGAAGAGGGTTGACCAGAAGGCGAGAGAAGAGGGCCCAGAGGAGCCCCCCTCCTTCCCTGTTCTCACTGCCCAAATCCACACCGGTCTGGGGAGAAGCCGGTCCTGCGGGTGCAGGGTTCCCACCACCACCTCCTTAAAACAGAACAGGAGAATGCCAAAGCCAACCAATAACAACAAAACAAAAATAAAAAATAAAAAAGGAGGGAGAAACGATGGGAAGAGACCAAACCTGGGACCTAGATATTGTGTTCCTTAAGGACCCTCCCTGTTTCAAGTATTCTTGACAACCCCCTCCTCAGCTGCAGGGGACAAAGCCAGAGGAGATTGGAAGCCTTTTCAGGATAATTCTCATTACCCAAATTAAAGGCCAAGGCGTGGGTGGGTGGCTTGCTGTGTGTTCCAGAGGCCTGTCGGCTTTATTTACATAATTTCACACGGTTACATCACAGAGAATTTTATGACCTCAAAACGAGACTTCCCTTGATTTCCCAGGAGTCTGACAAGTGTTAGACAATAAAAGAAAGAAAGCAAAGGAAAGAAAAGAGGCCAGCACGGCTGGGATGAGCTCAGGCTCCCCGGGGACGGGCAATTTGCTTTACAGGCAGGCCCACGCCCCCTGCTTTAGTTAAACAAGGGCGAATTCCCAACTTGACAAGACATTAGAACTTTAATTAAAACACTGGCTGAAGGGACCCTTTAGGAAGTGCCATCCCATGGGCAGAGACAAGCGGCTAAAGGAACCCAGGCAGGGTTCCAGGGGCCAGAGGGGAGCCTCTTGGAACACTGTCTTCCTAGCCTGCATTTCTTATTGCCCTTTAGGATCATGGAGCTCGGGTGGGTTCCTTTTCCAAATTTAGAACTGGCTGTGTGTTTAATTTCACCAAGACTAGGAATTAGAGATGATGAAGTGTGTTGGCAAGGGAATTCCATTTTAATTGACCTTAGGTCCCATGAAGGCCCAGAGAGCACCTGGGTGGCCGGGGAACATATGCTCCAGGAGGCCTGTATGGAGACCAGGCCTTGCTCAATGGACAACCAGAACCCCAGGCTTTGGGCAATGCAGGCCATAAAGCTACAGGAAAGCCATGGGTGGCTTTGCATCAGATGGGATCTGCTGGGCTCCGTGTCCAGACCCAGAGGGTACCCTGGGCCTAATGGGCAGGACCAGCAGTTTGAGATATCTGAGCTTCAGCCCTCCCCCTGAAGTGAGGAAGAGGCTTTCCCCTTCTTTTCAGGTAGGAGCTCATTCTTCAAGACAGGGATGGGTGGTCAGTAAGGCCTTCTGGGAGCCATGCTTGGGGAAAGTGGTGGGGGTGCTGTGGACAAACAGCAGGCTGGATTCTCTCACCCCCCTGTGACTTCTCCAGCCCTCTGGGGTCCTGGCTTTTCTGTTTAGTCACAACCATGGCTCCTAACAGAGGAATCTGAATCCTGGCAAGTGTTTATTTCTGTTTTCTCTTTTGCTTTTCCCCCTCTTGTGCCTTCATCCCCCAGTCTAAACAAATCCACTCAGACGGAAACAATGGGGTCTCTTTGTTTGGGTGTTTGGCGGCTGAAAGCATAAAGCCATATACATCTTCTGTTCTGGCCTAACTCTAAGCCATCCTACCCAGGTGGGATGCCAAGCAGGGGAGCCTGAGATGAGTGCCTGCCCACTGAGTCCTGATTGCCAGTAAAGTCAGAACCTGGCCTGGCCTTCAGGAGGTGTCCCCCTGGGGATGGCTAAGAGGCCCAGGCAGCCCAGGGACTCCTGGGCTTGCTCCGACCTGGGAGAAGGGCTCCTAATTGACGGGCTCCCCGATTCTGGGGCAGGCACCTGCTGCTTAAGAATCCCACACAAAAGGCCTCCTGGACATCACAAGGAGACCCAGCATCCTTCTGGAGGAGGGTAGTGCCTGGGCAAGGGCCAGGGGATTGCCTGAGCCCTGGCCTTGCGGCCATGGGCTCCTGGGAGCCCCCCTTTTTTTTTTTTTGCTGTTCCAGGATCTCCCTGAGGGTCTTTCAATAGCCCAGCAAGGGGGAACCAGGCCACGTTCGTTTTCTCATGGAAAAGCCC